TGTTCTCCAGCTTTAAGGACGCAAGGCGGTGTGGATCAAATTTCTGACAAAGTATCACTTCTTATGGAAGGCATTGTGAATCAAGCGTCACTTCTTACGCAAAAGGAGGACAATGCACCAAAGACCGGCCGCGTTTACGGATTTTTATTTTATTTTATTATTATTATTTTTTAATCTTCTCCTTTCTGGCGAGACGTCGCTACAGATGAAACATACGGTACTGATCATACAAAACAATTTTCAAACGGTTACACAAACGGTTTGAGCTCCTCACTGCCGGGTGCCTCTGAGAAGAGTACTTTGTTCTGTGGATCAATGGCGTATACCAAAAGCTTCGCTCAACACTTAAAATGGAAAGTTTGCTGGCATGCCATTCGAAGAGGGTTTCTCTGCAATATCGCCTTAAACAGTTAAGCGCTTTTTGGCTGCTGTCCGTATTATAGGATGTCCTTTATAGAGGGGTGTCCCGTATTATATGGATGTCCCGAAGGTATAGGGATATCCGTTATAGCGTAGTTTTGCGTATTATAGGGATGTCCGTTACAGCGCAGTGTCCCGTATTATAGGGATATCCGTTACAGCGCAGTGTCCCGTATTGTAGGGATATCCGTTATAGCGGAGTGTCCCGTATTGTAGGGATATCCGTTATAGCGGAGTGTCCCGTATTGTAGGGATATCCGTTATAGCGAAGTGTCCCGTATTATAGGGATATCCGTTACAGCGCAGTGTCCCGTATTGTAGGGATATCCGTTATAGCGGAGTGCCCCGTATTGTAGGGATGTCCGTTATAATAATAATAATAATAATAATAATAATAATAATAATAATAATAATAATAATAATAATAATAATAATAATAATAATAATAATAAGTCACCAGAAATTAATGCTAGCTGACAGAGAGAGTTATGTCGCCCGCAAATTTGTTGTAGGGAGTATTTAATATATCTTGTTCCGTTCTTCAAGAGATAATGAGACGAAACAAGTCAAATGACAGCAACGCTGAAATGGTCAGATGCAGGGCACTAAGGAGTTGTCCTTCTGCTGCTGTCTGTTCATAGTCATGTTTAGTCCACCGATGCTCACAGCTGCAAACTGGTCGATCATGACAAGTAGATTCAACCTGGATGCACTGGCATTAGCATGCTGAGGCCATAGTTATGGAAAAGATATTTCTAACTTCTGGAGACAAGTCTCTTATATACCGAATGATGGGAGTCGGAGGTGGAGCAAGTCCAGCGTCGTATGATTTGACAGCTTTTCTTTGAGGATTTTTCTTTTTCTTCGGAGTTATCTTAATCACTTCGGGAAGAATAAACGGCGGCGAGCGATTAGAACATTGCTTGTTAAATTCCGCAAAAGACTGAGCTTTCTCCAAACGTTGAAATGGAGTCCAGCTTAGATCAGTTTTTTCTCGATTGTATTTCCATGGAGTGGCTGGCAGCTTCTCAACCTTGTCTTCACAACTTTTATCCTTTGCTTTAGTTAAAACTCGCCGTCTCAGTTTTATTCGATTAAAGGAAATGGTCTTCTCAAGGCGACGATCTAAATTCCTATTACACGAATAACAGAGAGATGGAAGTTTTTCATCCGCAGTAGATTGCTTGGTTTCCAGAAATTCTTGAGAGACGCAGCTTCTGAAATAAGGCGACAATTTACTCAGCAAATGGGTGTCGTGTTTCTTTCTTTGAAATAAAACAAGTTGGGCTTTGCCGTGTTGTTTCGAGCCTACGATGGAGAGAAGCTCACTCTGGTTGCTACCACAAGGATTTAAAACTTTCGGGAAACCTTTTGTTTTGAGAGTGCTAAAAAGATTTTGTTCGTACCTTGATGAAACTTGTGCCATTTTGGCCTTTTTTGCGGGAAAGCAAATATAACAGTCCTTTCTTAAGTTGATATATTGCAGAATAATATTGTCATGTAAAAGCACTCAAAATTAAAAACTTCAATGCCCGTGTTAAGAGCTGTGGAAATTAATAATTCGAGCCAATGATGTTATTTTAAAAACTCCATAGGGACTTTCAGATAATCGATTCGCGCTCTAGTTAATCACTTTGTTTATTGATAAATGTACTTACAATACCAACTGTAGACAATGGCTTTTGAAGTCGGATATTATTAAAAGGTTTTTCATTAGTCTGAGCTAGGGCTCTGTATGGTGCTATGTTATTAAGAAAAGACATTATGACCTGTTTGTAATTTCGCATTGTTTGAGTCTTATTCCGCTTCACTTTATGTGCTGTTTTACTAATCAAAAACAAAGCGTTGTGATGTTGCATTCTGTGATATTCCTTTCAGTTCGTAGAACTGACTCCTACAACTATTGAAATTACACTACACTGGTACACCACAAAAGACATACTCCTTACGCTTCGACCACACTAATGCGTTTTCTTTTGAAAACGCATTATATCTCGAATGTTTTATACCTCCCGTCCCGCACACTAATATGCTGGACGTTTTCTACGAAAACCCACAGATTTGAAAATGCTCTCGATCCAAACGAAAACGCATACATGTCTCATTAGTTTAGACGGTGGGAAATTAATCAAAATGAAAACGTCATGACCGAAAAAGTTGCAGGCGAGCCGTGTTTGGAGCATGCGTATAGAGTTCAATTTACGTCACGTACAATTCTATTATTTTCGAAAATTTGTAGTGCAGTCCAGTGGCGGATCCAGACCTTCAGATAACGGGGGGGGAAGGGGGGGTTATCCGGACCCCCGAGATAACGGGTGGCCTGGCCTCAAAAAAATTTTTCTCGACCCTTCGGGGCTCATTTTCGTCTAAAAATAAGGGGGGGGACCCCTCGGACCCCGGACCCCTCCGCTGGATCCACCACTGCAGTCAGTGGAGAACCCACCAAAACGGTGGTGTGGACGCGCTCGATGCGTTATCGGTGACAATGAAAACGCGGTGTGGACAGTGCCTAAGTTAGGATGAATTAATATATATAAATAGCTAGATAAATATCTTTAATCACACTACACTAATTATTCCAACAAATCTTCATGTTAGTTTCAAATCGTGGTGTTTACTTTTATACCCCTGATTTTTAAGCGGGTGCATATTTTTTGGAGAAACTTTTCCCTGATGTACATAAGCTGGTCTACAATGGAAAAGCGAACAAATACAGTACTAGTCGACTTCCAATAATTCGAACCTTTAAGAGAAATAGAAAAAACTTCGAGTTATCGGGAGTTCGAGTTATCGAGGGTAAAATTATATAGAAAACGATCTGAAGGGAAATGAAATTGCTTCGAGTTAGAGGGAGGTTCGAATTATAGAGGGTTCGAGTTACCGGGGGTCGACTGTATTGCCAGGGTGAAACTGTCTTTTACGGCGCATTATGGACATAAATCAATTATCAAATTGTAGACGAAAATAATGAAGCTGAATTTGCATATTTAGCTTTTTATATCAAAATTCAAATTTTGAACTAACCCAGGGTTATCTTAACCAAGTTTTGAATAACCCAACCCGGGTTTCGGTGGCACGAGATACAAAAGGACCTGGGTACTAGGCTAAGGCACCATGGGTTCCCATGGGTAGCCATACTGGGCAAACGTAGCATATTTCACGTGCTGTTCATTCAACCTTCCTTGAGCTCGCTGTACTAGAGTCAAACTTTCATACACCTGTGAGAATTGAATCGGGGCACTTATAATTAAGTGTTCGAGTCTTGTTGCGTGTCTTTATACCCCCTATGCTGCAACAATACTTGTAATTTGTGGAGCTCTGCTGCGCTCTGTTTTCCCGCTCTTTTAATATAGCCCGATTTGTTGGCAAACAGTTCAGTGAATCTTAAACAGATTGACGCAAATCGTTAGGTTATGTAACAACCCATAATCTACCCATAGTCACGACGCACGGGATAATGATAAAATGCTCATTGTACGGAATTAAGGCTAAGTCTGTTATGTCTGACCTTTCTACTCATGGCAATATAGTACAATGCATTTAACTAGCTTGCGTTTGTAGCAATATTAGCTTACAAACATCAACGAAAACGAAACTACGTAAAAGAAGGGAATTTCGTCAAATAAGCAAAAACAATATATCACAAATATAAAAGCATGTGCCCCAAAAAATAACTGTTTTATTTCATGACCTGTTTGTAAACAGGCAATACATCATGTAAAATGGCCACAGTACGTCCATTTCAACCAATGATGTCAATTTCTCTTTTGTTTTATTTCTTTGAAGCAGTTTTGCATGATCTAATGATGACTTTTAAAACATCAAGATTGAAAGGCATATTTTGCTTTTTGAGTTGGAGATTCAGTTTTATTTAGTTTGATCACTAACTCTAAAGATTCAAAATCTATTTTAAGAAGAGATAAAAAAATCCCAAAGGGATGCTTTAAAATAATTAACACCTACTTAAAAGCCACACAGCCATTTAATTGAAGTTATTTTCTGAGGCAGGCTCTTTTTCCAGAACTTAACATCGATCTATTTTGTCTTTATTTTTTGTCTTGCAGTTTAAAAACAGCTGGCCGAACAAAGTCTATCACCTGTGGCGTTTTCAGTTCGGCGACGTTTTATTTACTTTTTAAAAAACAAAGAAATTTATTTATGAATGCTTTCGATGGCGTATTTTGAATACATAATTAACCCATTTCTTTATTCTTTTACTGACATGAATAAACAACGTTTATAAGGCACTGTGACCTCTGCGCTTTCTGTGTTTCAAGTGTGTTTACGAAGTACAACTTGTCAAGTTTCTAGAAACTACCCTTTACTAGATTTCGTGATTCGAATCTTGGTGACACTCTCAGTTACGACAGAATCTTTTGGTCATGGTGCACCGGCCACTATAATTAACAAGGACAAAAGGTCTCTTTGCTTCTCATGTATATGTATTGTAGTTAGGGGCCGGCATTCTAGTGTAAGAACGCTTCTCGTTCAAGCGTGAATCAGTAATCAGCACAACACTCGAAGCAGTCATCTTCCTTTTGGAGACTGAGTATGCTTACACCACCTACGAGGAGTCCAAAATGTCAGAAGAATCATTAAATGGGACTATTAATCTACCAGAATATGCTACAGAAGTCTCTGGTCTAGATCCACGTTCCAAGTTTGCTATCGCTCTTCAAGCGGCTTCTATGGTTGTGATCATGGTTGTTGCGCTAGGAGGCAATCTACTGATTCTGGCGGCGATCTACATCGATAAAACGCTCCAAACAATCACCAATGTATTTATCGTCAACTTAGCATGCGCCGACATGCTCTTAGCAATCATTGGAATGCCTTTCACCCTGGCCTCTTCCATCACTTATGACTGGATATTCGGGGATACATGGTGTAAAGTCAACGGTATGGCAAACTCTTTGTTTTGCATCGCTTCTATACTCACATTAGCCGCAGTCTCAGTTGATCGCTATTTTGCAATTCTCTACCCCTTCAAGTACATGGCTTGGATAACTAAGAAGGTCGCAGTTGGAATGATTTTTTACGTCTGGTCTCATGCCTTTCTCATGGCATGTCTTCCCTTAACAAGTTGGTCAAAATACACGTTTATTCGCTCAGAATCAATTTGCACTGTGCAATGGGAATATAGCATCACGTATACGCTATTTCTTTTTTCTGTGTGCTTTTTTGTACCTCTTGGTGTGATGATGTTTACTTACTTGCGAATCTTTCGTACGGCTAAGAAACAATCCAAGAAAATTGTACCTGTTACAGGAAAAATTGAAGGAAAAGATGAACCTAGCACAAGCGAGTTTATCTCGTGCTATGACAGTCGAACAAACTTAGAGAAAGCAGGGCTACCCGCTCGCTCTTCTCTCTCGACCAAGGAGATGATAGAAAATAGCTCCGTTTCTATTAATAGCAACAACTATAATGATCGACCTTTCTCGAGTCGTCAAGCTTTCGCCATTCACGGCGAGCAACGAGAATTAACGCAAGACCATAAAAATCTATTCGCAGATGATCATCAGGTTTCTAAAGACTCCGGCTTGGAAGAAGTTAATTTTAATGGATCCAATTTGTTAAGACCCGATGAATCGTCAGCTATAACAGCGCGCAATAGAACGTCCAGCATAGGCGAAAGCGTAGACGGAGTTAGTGTTCTTAATAGTAGCTGTGGAAGTTTTCAAGATTCAGTTTTTGAGGATAACGGATCGCCAAAAAGTACCAACAAAGAAAGGGTACAAATCGAGTCTACACAAAATGACATATCGTACGTGAATGCTCCATTTCCTAACACAAACAAAGTTCATGCGTACAGGAAGACCGGTGCTGTATATTTGCCGCCGTTACCAACTGCAACAAGGAACAAGGAGGCAAACATTAATACTCCGCGTTTTTACGTTCCCCTCCCACCTGTAAAATCTGGAACTATAAACAATAACATCTCTAGTACAAATGATACAGTGTACCACATTGATAATGACTCAGAGTGTATCGATAGAAATTCGCCAACTGCTGACAACCAGGAAAACTCTCAAAACATGGTTAACCAATCAAATACTCTATTAGTTTCGAAGAATCAATTTCCTCATGGAGAAGAAGTGAAAAACGACAATGGCAGTGACACCAGGAACCTGAATATAGTTGTTTCGCGATGTTCTTCTTATTCGTCTTTCTCTCCTTCGACGAAAGAGACACTGCAACCTGACCGCCCCAGATCACAAACGGACAGGACTGGATCTGCCAGGAAAAAGAAGTTTTCGACTGCTTCAGTAGCAAGTCTAATGAATTTTTCGGGGCCTAACTCGTTCAGAGCATTCAGTAAATCTTCTCTGGCATTGATGAAACTGCGCAAAAAGAAAGACGTTCAAGCACGCGCCAAAATGCGCCGTGAAACCAAAGCCGCCAAAACTTTACTGATAGTAGTGGGCACCTTTGTCCTGTGTTGGGCTCCCCACTTCATAGGAATATTCTGCTTTTTAGCCAAACAGTGCTCGTGGCCCAATGAATTTTTTGCCATTACTACCTGGCTTGCTATGTTGAATTCTGCCTGTAATCCTGTTATATACGGAGTTATGAGTATGCACTTTAGGAAGCGATTTAAACAGATTTTACAGTGCAAAAGAGGCTTCTTCTAGATTTACGTTCCTGAGTACTTATCCAGGCCTGGGTTGATCAAAAGAGGTTTAATTTAAAACCTGATAAGCGAATTTTTAAGCAACATTCCTCGCCCTGAGCATGGAAATTGGAGGATAAGTAATTGGTAAAATTAACAGCCAAGAATCGAAGTCTATAAGAGGATTAAAACCCAAGTAAATAATAGTAGGTTCATATTATTTCAACCTCTTTGATTAGCGCTTATCAATCCTCGAGCTACTGGCCAAAGAGCATATTTACGTTATTTGTCGAATTAGGTTGAAAAGGAATTTTAAATATGAATGAATTACGAAATTATGGAATTGAAATAAAAACAATTATGGCTGTTTATCTTTGTTTATTTTGTTCTCTTAACAAAGTTTACGAACAAATGAGTAATGAGATACAAAAGAGATCTTATGTCATACTATTGTCAGTGGTATTATTTTTCAGTCTTTAGAGAATATTTTGAGGAAACAAGTGGCCTTGTTGATTTCCTTTAAGTAACTCGTTTTTTTGTTCGTACAATATGGTATTTGGTGACTGATTGTTGTCGGCATCCTTATTAAGTCAAGTACGAATATATCAACTTCCTGCAGAGAATCAAATTAATTTTATTTTTTAATTTTCCACATTGCTCAAACAAGGATTCCATGTCTTAAAGTAATGGCGGTTTAGGACCCTTTAGTTTAGGGGTAAAGAGCAAAGACAGCAAAATCGTCATATAAAAAAGTGATCCTGTCCTTTCAAACCTTGTTGCAATTATTTCTGAACTCGAGCAATCGTGAAGTGACGGTAAAGAACCAAAAAGCCTAACAACTTTTATCGCTTATTTGCCGTTTCCCTTACTGTTGTCGTGGTGGGTTGGTATGCCCTCCAATTAAGCATCACTAAGTCCTCTTTGGGTGGTGATTGAATTGGATCCGCAATTGTATCATTTTCAAAGAGAGATGTGGCCGGGGGGGGGGGGGAAAGATCCACCGGAATAAATTTGACCAGGGAAGGGGTAAAGGATTTTTGTGGGTTTAAAATTTTCGTTTTAGGGCTTGGGGAAGGAAAATTTTGGAAGGATTTTTTTTTTTTTTTTTATCTTTTAGTTTGATTTATTTAGGATTTTCTTTGGATTTTCAAAATTATTCTTTCGATTTTTTTGGTTTTATCTTTTAATGTTTTTTTGAATACTGGAAGAGTGTTGTTTTGTGCTCTTTGTTCGTTTTGTGTTTCGGTGGCTGTTCGTCTGTTCGCTTCTGATTATTATGGTTTTGTGTGTTGGGTGTGGTGTTGGTGTGGGTGGCGTGGTGGGTGGAGGGGGGGGGGGGGGGGGGGGGGGGGGGGGGGGGGGGGGGGGAAAGACACTCCGGAATTCAAGTGACCGAGGGATGGTCAAAGGATTTTTGTGGGTTTGAAATTTTCGATTTTGGGATTTGGGCAGGAAAATTTTGGCAAGTATTTTTTTTTCTTTTTTTTGGTGTAGCTTGATTTAAGTACGGTTTTGTTTGGATATTCAAAACTAATGTGTCCATTTTTCGTGTTATATCATTTAATGCTTTCTGGAATTTTTTGTGGCTCGGAAATTCGGCATAGGTTTTTTTTTGGTGTTAAATTTTGGGCCAGGGATTTTTTGGGGTTTGATCCCTGAAACTTGACATCTCGGGTACCCCCTACCCCCTGGAGAGATGAGAGGTCGTTTAGGCAAGGTTAACCCTTACCTTGTTCAAGTATATGTCAAGCATGGATAGACAGACCGAAAGACCGACAGACAGATAGACGAATCAGTTGGTAGTTTGAAGTCAGTATTGCCGGCTTAAGTGTAGTTGGCAGACCCGTTAAGTGAATGGAGGCAACAATTCATGAAGCTTATAGCTTTGGTGCCCTACAATTTGTTTGAATAGAATTTTACACAGTCTTAGTATAATAAGATAACTCAGGCTGTATCCATCCCCAGTGAGCTTTTGCAATCGTTCCTATCATTAAAAAAGGTTAAGTACGACAAAACATTATGGAAAACTCTTATCCAGGACAAAGCGCAGGACGCGTATAAAAGCAGCGCGTAATTTGGCTGGAAAAACTGTTTTAACAAGTTCGGGTAGCTGTTTTGTAAGCACGTTTCAGTCACCTTCAGTAGGTTTTCCACAGCTTTGCGGACAAGACAATGTCGATTCACTTATCGCTGATAAGCGATAAGTGCGGATTAGCGATAGTATCTATAGTACTACCTGATTTCAGCTCTTTACATTTACTAAACACTCGTTGAGCTAAAACGAGCAGCTTCAGACTGCCGTAAAAAGCTCATCTACGCGTACAGATCTGCATAGAGCTCATCTTCATTCTTTGGTACCGGACGTCATGAGAGTGGTTTACCTATTTCCAGAAAGGTTTAATTTGTTTTCTACTTAAAGATTATTTATCATCATGACAAGACATAGACAGGGTTCCAGTGCGGTCCCTTGTGGGACTACGGGAACAGCCTTTCACTTCGAAGCCAATCACAGCTTCACAGCTAGCTTAGCTGCACCTTTTTCTCGCGATTCACTAGAAATTCGCACCTACTCCGGTAAATTAACGGCTTTGGGATGTTATACCAAAAAGGACAACTCTCACAGTCGATCATTTTTCATCCGTTACGTTGAGTTATCTGCAGCAGAGGAAGGTCGACACTCCATTGATCTAAATTGTCACTCGGTTATATCAGTATAGACCAGGTCTGAGGCGGGTTAATCGAAAGCGGACATATTTCACTTTGGGCCAAGATATCTACAATTGTCTCCCCATTCCAATCAGGAGGAGTGTATTCCATTTACTTCTAATATTGTATTTTACGATTATTAGTGCTGTTTTATTTAATGACAGTACGATATGGACCTCTTGATCTTATTTTAGTAAGGAAACTTCGCCTCGGAAGGCCAGAACAGAAATGAATATTAATGCGTAAAGAGTGCGAAAGTTCTGGGCTTTCAGAAAATGACAAGCTTCGATAAGAATGCTATGGGCAAAATGTCAAGTTCGATTTTCCACATCCACATTGTTGGAGTTTCGTTTCAGTTACAAAGCTACACAGGCCAGATAAATAATGACAACATGGAAAATAACGTATGATTACTATTTGGTCAATGTTGATCCTTTTTAGTGACAGTAACTGCTAGGCTCGATAAGCACCACTTGCAATTGCGTCAAACAATCAATGACGTCACTGCCATACCTTAACCTCACGTCCTTTTTGTTTTTTTCAATAAATTCTATAATACCAACACCAGCGCTTGTTTGCAGTACTTAATAATTAAAGTTCAGGTCGACAAAACCAATAATGCTAAGCTTAGCGGCCCGTTTTATTGGAGTTCCAGCTCGCAATTATCACCTATAACAGATAAATAATTACTTTGGCTAAAAAGACAAAGGATTTCTTTTCAAGATGAAACGTTCCGCCTATTTTGTATACAATTATCTTAAGAATGGTCGCTCAAGTGTAATTACTATTCAAAGTGAAGTAATATCTCTTTTCACCCCAGATTACCCCGCTTGCATTGTTTTGTCTGTTTTTCAGACGTGTTTTGCAGTGAGTGTTGACTATCCCTGTTTCAACAGCCAATAACATTACGAAAAAGAATTTTGCCTTAAAGCCGATTACACCGCTACTTGGCTTAGCGTCAACATAATCTTCTAGGCTTTTGTTACTTCCACGAAATAGTTTTTTCACTCGGGTTCTTATTTTCACTCAGTCTCAGTGATCAGGAATATATAAATATATCTTCACTGTTTTTTGTTTGTCTTTTGAAGATGAACGGGCATAACTCAATATGCTATTGTCAACATTCGGTCTGTTAACGCGAAAACGTTCGATAAGAAAGCTGTTGGCAAGTCCTGTCTCCTGGTGACCAAGCCTATACAAGGAAAGGAATAGTGGAACGCGACACGGGTAGGAATCCCCCAGTAATCCGTCTATATGTCTAAACAACATTGGAATGCACTGCGGCGTTTATAAAGTTGGGCCATTGATCTGAATATTTTTTTTCTGCACGCCAAGGTCGGAATCATATACGAATCAATTTTTGAAGGATGAAAGCATTGTGAGAGGACATCTGCTTTATATCATCAATCCCCTATCCTGCGCCAATAGCATTCAGCACTGAATACAGTCAGTCTATAATGAAATGTGGCGCGGTGGGGAACTGGATAAAGACAACCCGCAGCTTCTCACACTCGTTCATGGCATAGACCGAAAGGGAAGACCTGTTATTAGGGCCTACAGGGGCAATGCTCGCCATCCAGTCTACCAAGAGTACCAAGAAGTTATCAACAAAAATTATGAAAAAGCTGCAAGACTCTCTCAGTTTTCCAGGGGCTGTGAATCACCGTTGTACCGTGTAAATAATAGTTCTTCCGATTTATGTTACTCCGAATCTATCAGTGCTAGCACTTCAACGCCAAGAACTCGTGCCATGTCGCACTGGACTCCGTCTCTCTCTGGAGTTAGATCACCAACGATTGTCCCAGAAGTAAAAGGTATGCAGGCTATTATATCAAGGCTGCGCTCATCTTTAGCGATACACGCCGGCCTGGGACCTACGAACAGTGAGGTTAACTTTCTTCCTGTTATTCCTGTCCGCGTACGAAAACCACCGTCTAGCAACTGCCTGAAGAATGAACGTCCAACAGGAAACACTGTTCCGAAGAAAATGGAGTGTGACTCCATTAAGTACAATAATGTAGCTGAAGAAAAAACTTTATCTTCTTATACAGAAAGCTGCGGAGGAGGCAAGGGAACTTTTCATCAAACAAGGAAAGTAAAGAAGCGGAAGAAAAAGAAGACTCTGAGGTCGAAAAAATTAAAGTCAAAAATTAAGCCAATCTCGGCAGACATGGTCCCGCTTAACTCGATAAATTCGAAATATTTGTTGTCATAAGTACTAGTCGCCACACGGAGTCATGATAAAAAATAACAACAATTATAATAATACAATTGGACTGACAAAAACTCAAACGACGTTTTCTTAGTAGTCAGTTTTAACACGGACAACCTGACGTGTAAAACATATTCTTCCAAAGTTGGAAATTCGTTGATTTTTTTGTTATAAAGCATGCAAGGAACTTCTATTTTTTTTTAGTCACTTGAGTACTTTCTTAATGTATGGTATGCTGTCTTAAGCAAGCTTAGTTGTTATTTTAATGGATTTATTGTTTCCCCTATATGACATTCTAACCCTTGCCGATTCCATGCCATTATATTGTGGTGCTTAATATAAGCTCGTCTACAATTCGAATGTAGTGTACATTCCACCCTAAATGATTGTTTTGTAAACCAGAATGCTTTAGCTGGGTGCCAATTTAGGAAGAAAAAAAAAACAAAACAGATGATTTTTAATAAGGCTGTTCCGTTTTATCTTGTCTCGATAGACGTTTATCAAATCGGCATCATGAACACCATGCAGTTTGTTGTGTTTTTTATACGCTCAGTCTAGCTATTCAGATCATAAGTGCATAGATTCAGAAAGCAACCATACAGTAGTTTTCTTTCATTTTACTATCTATTGTGCTTTATGTATGATTTATAGGGTGCCTCAGCAGCTATTTTCAATTCGATGTTTGTCTACGAAGACTATGAAGTCTCTATGTGGTAAAACTTCAAATAACCTTTCGTAGCTAAATAAAAAAATAACAGTAATTCCCTGTAAGACTGTTTATCAAACCTAACGTTTGTGTCCGTGGATGTCCTAAAGGTGATCATTGAATTGAAAGCTACTGAGAATTTTTATTACTATTATTTTGCCGTAAAACGTGGTTCTCTTCTCAGAGTCTAAGGATGAAATCGTGCAATGTAAACATCGACGTGAATGCTAATAAGCAGTACTTTCCTAAAGTAAACTTAGTAAAACTTCTAAGTATTCCAATAACCATAACGATAAGAACAAAATTTTAATTTCAAGACAAAATGGTTATACAAAGGTAGTTTATCAAACCTTTTTCGGGTAAAGAGGAACTCATTAGGTTGGTCAGCTCCCAATGTATCGGGTTTTCATAGCTCATTTATAATTAGTAGAGCAATGCAGCGCCAGGGCAGAGAAGAAATGGGTTCGAATTCCGTAGAAGGCCCTTTTTTTTCTGGATAGTTTCCAGTTGGTTAAAGTGTTATTACTACCGCGACGATCATATCTTCATTTAAATTAAGTACATTTACACATAGTGGTTGGCAGGGTGTGGCTGTGAATTGTGATTCGTGGTTGAAATTCTGAGTAACCACTCGAATAAAATTCTCTCGGGCTTCACAAGGTACTTCTAACTTCAAAAAAATTGTTATTTTATGGCGTTAGTCATTGCTTACAGTATTGCATTGCACATATTCATAACAAGACAAAAGCGAAACTGAAAAAAAGAAACAATAAATTAAAAATATAATGATTCGCCCTCACGTTTGATCACAAGCGAGTGTCAAATACTTGCTTTGAATGGGAGGTTTGGGTACAACAGCCTGACAAATGCTTCTTGCATTGCAGACTTTTTAGGGAAGATATATGACTCTCAACAAAACCGAAAGCTTTCCGAAAAATGGTGGTGTAAGCGTCACTAAAATTTCTCATCCTTGACCCATAAATAAGAAAGTTCATGGCGGAATTTGAAAGAGCGACACTCCTCACCCACATATGCACAGTACCATACAACTTGACGAGTAATTTACCGGCTGCAGCAAAGATAGCAAACAGTGGAAACCAGCAAGCTGTAAAGACGATGATGACAATCGCGAGGGTGAAGGTCACGCGCAGTTCCATGCGGCGAGGGGTTGGGTTATTAGAAGATCCATTTCTGAGTTGGTTTCTCAGTTTTCGTTGTCTGACTAGAGATATCACAATCGCAGTGTATGATATGAGTACAATGGTATAGCATAGTGTGAATGCTACCAAATTGATTCGTAATCTAACTGTGACTGACACATCTGGTATTCCTTGGACCAAAGCAAAAATCGCAGCGACTGAAGTCCAGCTGATGATTAAAAGAGCCTTCAATCCGAAGGTCTCCATAATACTTTTGTGGCGTAGGGGATAGATAACAGCGAGAAGGCGATCAATGCTGATTGCGGCCATATGAGAGACGGACACAGAAGCCGAGAGATTGGAGAGTAAAGCGAAGACAAACTCTACTTTCCACGCGCAGCTGTTATAATTGGTCCTATCGACGAGGATCACCAGGAAGAGAGGTTCGCATACCATGGTGACGATTAAATCAGCTATAGCTAAGCTGACAAGGAGGAAGTTGGAGCTACGTCGAAGACAAGGATTTGAAGCAACAGCTACACAAACCAGCAAATTGCCAAGAGTTCCAAACAAACCCACCGTAGCATTCACTGCGATGAGACTAACACCATGAGCAAAAGGAAGCGAACAATCATTTTCCGAGAGGTTGGTACTGAGATAACTTTTGTTTACCAAATAGACGTTCATCTCTGTGCTTGCTTCAGGGTCTGATATGATATATAATACGATATGATACACAACAAGATAATCAGTAAGGCTTTTCTATCCTTTGTTCAGTAAACGGAAGAAGTTAAGGTACCTCGATTTCAACAGAATTAAACGAAGTTGATATAACGGGCGCAGAAAAGCTATGGAGCAAATTAAAAACTTTAACTTAAATTTCGTTTTTATATGCAAGCTTGTGACCTTGAGATGAAAAGGATATTAAGTTCTAAACAACTGTTTACGTCAACCAATACAAAGTTTTGAGGCAAAACCAAGAACGTGCATGCGTCAACTTGAGCACTGTGAGTGTTGTGACTGACCTAAAGCAGTGCAATTGTTCAGTGAAAGGGATGCAAGTCTTCGTTTATCAACCGTTAATCTTTCACCGGCCGTGTTTCTTGAACCTGAACTGAAAATTTTTAAACTTTTTTCTTTAGCGGTTGTCAATGTTAAAACGCCACAACTGGGAGGACCAGTCCTTAGTTACGTAATGCTGCCTTTATGATGAAATCACTACCCCGGCCCAAAAAGCTAAAAATAGAGTCTCCAGTGCGTCTTTTCGCTAGAAATACACGTAGCTATTTGAATATGAAGAGCTAATATAATATAAAGTGAGAGGGAGATGAATGCATGATTTTCTATTTTAATTTGTAAGTCGCATATATAGTCTATTTATAGAATGTTTGAATGTTTAACAGCTCGATTCCATGGAATCATGAAACAAAGAGGCATTTGGTCACGCAACTGTTTCAAAGACCCGTTCCTTCTGTGCTTTGACTCTAGACTGCAGCAGTTCGTACTCAAAACTTAGGTGGTTCAAGCAGTTCCCTCTGCTGGATAAATTACTTCCCAGTCGAATTAGCGATCTCCACATTTAAAAAAAAAGAAGGGGTCGAAGGTATTGTTTTGGCTGAATATATAGAGCCCTTCAAGTTCTCCTCTAAATTGGCGATATCATATAGAGTTCGTGTAAATGGCAACGATTATAATGACCTGGCCTTCGTTCTTCGCTTTGCCCTAAGTACAGCTGCGACGTTACCACACCCTCAGCTTTTGCCATCTGTGCCGTAAAACGTTCCCTATCCCATCCTAAAAAAAAGGACATCAACCGTTGTTGTCGTTGTTTTTTTTTTTTTTTTTTTGTTTTTTTTTTGCTTTTGGGGCGCTATAACGCGAAATCTTTTATCGCCGTCGCAGTAAAATGGAGCATCTTTGTTGTACCTCATCCCCCTCGTACCCCTGCCGGGGCATGAAGCCGGGCCCGCCCCTTCTTCGCTTTGCCCTAAGTACAGCTGCGAAGTTACCACACCCTCAGCTTTTGCCACTTGTGCCGTAAAACGTTCCCTATCCCATCCTAAAAAAAGGACATCAACCGTTGTTGTCGTTGTTTTTTTTTTTTTGTTTTGTTTTGTTTCTGATCTTGGGAGGCTATAACGCGAAAGCTATTATCGCCGTCGCAGTGAAATGGAGCAGCTTTGTCGTACGTCATCAGCCTCGTACACCTGCAGTGGCATGATGACGTGACCGCAGCTCATGACGTGTCATGACGTCATAATAACGTTATCAGTTTTGAAATATGCTTCACGCATACAACAATGTCTATTAGAGCTATCTATGCAAAGAAGTGAAGAAGACCTGCATTAATTCCTGAAATTTAAAGGGCCCGAAGATAATGAATTTCAATTCGATTATCGGATAGTCAGCAACTTCTGAAGAGAGATAAGAGTCAAAGTAGAAAATGAGCAGATGAAAACAGTTTAAAACAATCGTATGGATGAAAACAGGGAGGGCAGGCAACAACCTTTGATCTTGCCGCTTTTCGGCTTTCCATGATCGCCCCAGTTAAGAAATCTGTCAATCATTCGAGAACTGAAGCGAGCTTGCGCGGAACAGGCTGGGAACAACAAGAAGAATTTGGTCTTCGCAGCGATTCGAGAGTGTGAAGTGAATTCGCTTTTGGTCCTGTTGGTCATTGGTTTCTTTGCGACAACCAATTTTTTTCCGCGGTAATGTGGAGCTTACGTTTTCCTTTCTTCTGGTCTTGCGTTTGTCATTACATGCGGTTTGCTACGCTAAGAACGAGACCAGTGAACATTGATCGTAAACAGTCGTTGTTCCGATGCCCTCACTTCATCTCTCTAGATGCAGTCTATCAAACTATGTTTCTGTTTGGAAGACCCACAAGACTAAAAGAAGGGCCAACCCTCCAATACGTATGTAACAGAGTTTATATTTTCAAGTGAAAGGCCCAAAATTAATTCTCCGTGTTATTAAAAAAGTGTGGTGGCTGTGGTCGAGTAGAAGAGTTGTCAGAGTTGTTTACGGTTTTACTTCTTAACACCTTTAATACGACAAGAAATGATGATTGAGATTCTTAATTCTTCATTCTTGATTGTGAACTTATCCTGGCAGAGTTGCGTTGGATGATTGAGTGGCATGGTCAAATCTCGTAGTTCGAGCATCTCTTCATGTACTAGAAGCTAAATAAAGTTTGCCAAGAGATCATTCTCTTTTGATTTTACAAATGTTGATATTCTTAAGTTCTTATCCTCGTGTGATGTAATTTAAACTTTACCTTAGTTTCTAACAACAAAGCTTAGGCAAATGAAGGGGTAATTATTTCGTGTGTTTTTTTTAAATTCTTTTTTCATGGGGGGAGAATGCAGCGGTGCGCCTCCCCCCCCCCCCCCCTCTGTTATCCACCGGGGTTCTAGCAAAACATTCTGTTTACGTAAAAAAAAAAAAAAAAATTTGATATAATGGTTAAAAAAGACAAAAAAAAAACGCCACCCCCCACCAAAAAAAAACACCAGCCTGCCCCCCCCACGCANCTACCCCTTGGATGAAAATAACGTGAAACTACTTTTTTTGTAGAAGTAAAGAACAGCTAAAGACAAGTAAAGGGAAAACTTGGTCAGGATTTCTTGAGAACTGTTGCCAAATCCTGTGACATTATGAAGACCCTCTATGAAATTGTAAAATAAATCATCTAAGAGCGCATCTACCAGAATTTCAACTTTTTCGTGGATTCCTAACAGTTCTCGAGAGTAATGTGAATCAAGAGCCATATTTGCTCTTGCGTAAATACAAATTAAATAAAGTAATTTTTAAAAAAGACAATCTGAAGAAGTTCGCGCATAAATCAAACATCCAATTTCTGAAATCGTTACGCCCTTCACTTTGCAGTGTGTCTTTCGTTGATATATTAATTAAACCCAAGTTAATGTTTAAACCCTTGTCGTGTCCGACTCAGTACCTTGTTAAATCAATCTATATCGACCTTTACGTATATTTTAAATTAAATTATTTTGAAAAATAAGTTGTTACAATCATATAATCAGTGTGGACCTGATATTTTTCGGAATTAAATTTCAAACAAACAGTTATTCTCCCAAATGCACGCATATACCCTATCGATCAGTTCACAACGTAACGTGGAAGTGTGAATAATGAAAGATCAACAAGTCATCATCGACCTGTATCGGTTCAAAGCACATTATTCCAAGGGCCTGTTTACATGAAGGTGGGGGACCCCAGGTAGGTGAGGTAACATGTGGCGGGTTACCCCACCTAACATGTAAACGTCATCACATTAAAATGAGAGATTGTATGCACAGGCGGGTTACCTCACCTACCTGGGGTCCCCCACTTCCATGTAAACAGGCCCTTAAGTGGACATGCAGCTGTTAGCATTATTTAATTCAAACATTTTGAACGAAAAACAAATTCTGAAATTATATAATTTACACCCTTTATTATCAAATTTTGACACAAATCCGCAGTTAACCTTGTAGAAGTCCCGCAATCGGATACTATATGAACAGGGAGTTATCTAAAATAAGCCTTGAGCTGAATAATAAATAGAAGTTGCAATTGCAAGCTAACTCACCTCTTTTTTTTTATTGCATGAAAACCAGGGCTAAAACTGAAATTCTGCCGTATACCGTCATCTTCCTTTCATAAGTTTTCCAACAAAAGTGTCGCACTGAAGTACTTTAGACAAGACAAGACAAGACAATACTTTATTTGGAGTCTTATAAAGTCCTATGTCCGTCGACTTTTTATCCAAATAACTTAAAATCATAACACACATTGCACACTATAGTGAGACTATTATATAATTCGCTATTTTACCTACAGTAGTACATAGTCTTTAAACACACACGACCCTCGCGCGCGATAGAAAAGTACTTTGCGCCCCGGGATCACGTGGCGAAACCATGACAAAGCGCCCCATTGTTGTTTTTAAAACTGATTTTTGGCGGCCGTAAACAGAGTGTACTGCAGGAGACGGTCTTGAAAGTAGTAACCGGTCTTGACTACTCTATATGATGCTTTAAACCCTTATATGTCAACTCTGCGGACACCTATACTTTGTTTTCATCACTAAACAAAATGTTTATCAGGTATATGTATCGTCAGCGACTGAGGCTTTGGAGGAACGGATCCGTGCAAATCGAGGTCAGGCATCCGCTATCAAATATGTGTTTTGCGACTAGAAAATGTAAGTACAACGGCGATTTTCTTTCTTTGAGTATAATCTGCTGCCAAAAAGGTTTAATCCTTCGCCCTACGGGAACAACAAAATACGAATACTGTAGTAATGACGAGATTGGTCTCGCACCAGGCGAGCGTGTACCGCTGCGGGTAACGTTGTATTTTATTTTGTCCTCTATTGTAGTGTTATTATCTGTAAATAGTTAAGCTTAGAAATAGCAGAAGTTCAGTCCAAGCCTTGCAAGCTTCAATGTGCTAGTTTTTGCAAGACTTGCGTGGTAACGGTTAAATGAATTTCTGAAAAATCTCGGGAATTCCTGAGAATACTCAGGAAATTGTCAAATGTTCCTATTTTTGGAGATTGCCAAGCATTCGCAGAATAGACGAAGACGACGATCGTTGATCTTCGTGATAACGCATAACCGGATCAAAAAACTCAATTGGCAGGAGGCAACTAGTTTCCTATTTAGGACTTGGCATGGCCGAGGATTTAAACTCGGGACGACCGAGAACAAATCCAGCAAGTGGCCAAGGCGAGACTCCACTGAGGCCCGGGCCCGCTGGATTGCCAGTCCAACGAGCTGATCATTCGGCCATTCTGCCTCTTATGTTCAAGCTACACCTATCTAAATACCTAACTTAATGTGAAAGATGGTCGCACTGAGCGGATTGAGACGTCAGGTAAAATGATGAATAAATCTGCAATTTAAAAGCGGCCATCTTTATTTATCAGCCTAGCCGAGGCTGCTCAGCTAAGATGTTGTATGCAACCCTCCTATATTCCCCTCTAGATCAGAAAGGAATACCTTGTACATAGTTAACTAACGTAGAAAATGGTAACTGTTTCATGTAGCGTAAAGAGAGTTTTGGTTAATTATTGAGCGACTTTGACCAGGACCGCATAACCAAGTTGTAGGCTCCTGCTTTAACTCAATGTCATCTCGAAACTACCTGTCTATAACGGATTCTCTTTGAGACATTTAGAAGACGTATATGGTAGTATTCCTTACCATCTTCTCTTTATTAAAGGAGCTGTGTCACAAAATTCAGCCAAATTAGGAAATTACAAAATGCCCGTTAAATTAAGAGAAACATAAAAATAACCGCTTAAGACTTTAAAGGAACGTTAAAATAACATAACAGAAACAACAGATGCCACGGATGGGAAAAACTGAAGAAGATTGAAACGGATTGAAATCAGGATTTTTGAAAACTGTTCAGCCTAACAGTTGTTCAAAGTTGATCTCTGCTGCTTGCAACTTAAAAAATAATGCTCAGGAGACATATTTGTTTGTCTCGGATCTCTGATTTTGTCATTTACATGTAATTTCTTTGCTTACTTTAAGTTCCATAGCGATAGAGGGCGAGTAATTGGCAAAATTAAACAAAATGAACTGGACTGCCGTGACACAGCCCCTTTAACTAGATATACACTCGTAGTCCATGTCTAAGCGTGCTTGATAAGTGTTTGGTGAGCCACTGTTGGTGAAAAAGGGCCTCTGACATGACTGTTTTTTTTTAGGTAATGTCGCTTACTGTACACGGTATCCAACTGTGTGGGAAATTTTTTCCGCTTGCACAATGCAGTGAACTTTTTAAAAACCGTTCGGAGAATTGAAACGAAGCTTTCGCGAAAGCTTTCAAGCCTTAGTCCATAAATGAGGAAGTTCATTGCAGAATTGGACAGCGCCAATGTCCTGATCCACATGTGTGCAGAGCCATAACGCTTCAAAGAAAGTTTACCAGTTGCCGTAAAGAAGAAGAAAAACGGGATCCAGCAGGCAGTGAATACCGAAATGACAATTGCCAGTGTGAACGCTACGCGAACCTCAACACGGAAATTGTCTTCGCCAGTTTGAGATCGAGCTCGTAATTTGTTTCTCTTCTTTCTGTTTTTAAGCAACGCGATCACAATGAGGGAGTAGGACATAAATATGGTAAGGTAAAATAAAGTGAACATGCCCAGAGCTAGGAATCCCTTGGGGAAAGACTCTGGAACGAATCGATCTATGAGGAGAACTGAAATTGGCAGCGTCCAAGACATTACCAACATACTCGTTACTGCGTGGTTCCCCATGACATATCTGTGGCGTAGAGGGAATACAACGGCGATAAAACGATCAACACTGATAGCAGCCATGTGTGCAACGGAGGCAGTGCAAGAGAGTCTTGACAACGCAAGGTAGGGGACTTCAATGCTCAGTGCGCAGTCGTTGAAAAATGTTTTCTTGACAAGAACGGCGACAAAAATTGGCTCGCATACCATGGTGACAATCAAATCAGCGATCGCTAAGCTGAACAAAAGGAAATTCGAGCTTCGCCGAAGACGAGGATTTGTTCCAACAGCCACACACACCAGTAAGTTGCCAAGTGAGCCTATTATACACACCAGCAAGTTACTTGTGAGGAGGCTAATGCCATGAGCGGCTTCAAGAGAACAGTCGTCCCCTGAGTTGTTAGTGCCTTTTGCGTTGCTTGTGTTTGAGTAATTCAAGTTATCCATCGTGAAAATCAGCAGAAAAGAAGAGACAGTGATGACTTTCGAGAACGGTGGACTATTGCCTATATCCAGTTGCTATCGTTATGCCGCCCGAGTCGCGCGGAAGAGGCAATTACGTTCCACCAAATGTATATCCTTCGAAACTGTTGATGATCGAGCATGACAGCGCGAAATTCTACCCCAGCATTATCAAAATATTTACAGAAAACCGCAGCTGCTCTAACTGTTACTCGACCGATACCGACTTAGTCACGGAAAACAAATTCCCTTTGTTGAAAATACTCCTTTTCACGGTTTTTTTCACTTTTTATGTGGACCAGTTAGGGAAAATCCGTCGGCAGCAGTGGAAAGAGCCCCTTAAAAGTAGTAAAATAGTCACATTTGAAAGTGATACGTCTTTAGCGAGCGAAGATATTGCCCGCAAAGTTGCGAAAATTTACACACGTTTGTACACACGTTTGGGCAGCTAGTGTGAAGTGTTTATTTATTCCTTTTTTTTTCTTTTTCTTTTTTTCTTTTTTGTCATTTCGCTTTTTTTGGCCTAACTATGATCAGTACGACTGTCTAATATATTTTATGTTTTACTGTAGCTCTCTCTACCATTGATTTTTCCATGTGTAATTATGATAATATTTTGTTCTGATTATTTAACTGAGGGAGCCCATTCTTTACAAGCCCGGTGGCTTCTCTTGGGCTTCCTCGCCATGAGAGTTTAAATAATCAGCTTTTTTTTCCTTGCTTTTGTACAACTTATGGCAAAACAATAACAATTAAACTGAACTGAATTAGCTTTTAACAAATCACTTTTAAACTTGGAATTTTACTAATTTTAAGGCGCTCTTTTCAGTGGTGTGGACGGATTTTCCCGAACTTGTCCATGTCAAATACTGTTGGAATCAAATTAGATTTCCTATTAATCCATTTAGAATTGTTTTGAATAGTTTGAGCAAGGACATACCGTGCATATGGCAAAAATTATTAATGCACCTGCTCAAAATGGTTAGAGATTAACATTTCAATAATCAAGCATAATGGAAGTGAACTGACCGATGCAAATCGGTTATCAATATATTCAATCTTGTTGATTATTTTGATGGATTTTTTTGTGGTTTCCTTGCAGCTTACGCATCACCTCTTAAGAATTTTTTTCCTGTTTCGAGGTAATACTGTAGTTTAAGTAAACCGTCCACTTAACCCAAATGGCACATTTTATAAATTTCGCGATAATACCAGGAAAGAGATGATTGATCAATTTATAGGCGGTGTCTCGCGGTGTGCTGCACTAATTGACATGATCACTCAATGAAATCATCGGGAAGAATAACAATAAACTAAACTCCGGTCTCTTGCTTTAGGCCAACATATAAAGGTAATAATCAATACTGTGACTTCCATATATCCGTTAGGTTTACGCCCTGCATTTAGTGATGATAAGAACAATAATAATGATAATGATAATGACAATGATATTGATTGAACTAGAGAAAACAAAACATCTAGCTTTGAGCAGGACCAAGGGACTGAGAGGATTTAATCCCCTGTTAGAGCCTCAAAATCTTTAAATAATAACTTGCCTCTTAAAAGACGTTCTTGAATTCCATGTTCTGACGTATTTTATAGCGTAAGATGCGTGGAAGTTAAATAATTGCTCTTTGGATGGCATGTTTATTAGCAGTGTAATTTTTCATTGCCGATTCAGTCGGCCTTTGGGTTCTATATGCTAATTACTTAGAAACGGGAAGTATTTAAATGAACTTTAGTTTGAAAGATGTTATTTCAAAACTCTTAACTTAATTTTGTTTCAAATTACATAACGTTAAAAAAAGTTTTTTTTTCCTTCTTTTTTTTTAATATATTGAACTTACGTCGATTAAAGCCGTTGGGTTTCACAAAGTCTCGCAGGTGTCAAATACCCTTTTTTACTGCTTGTTGCATATAAAATATAATCCATTTTCTTAACGTGACCTTGAACTACTTGTTTGATTAAACGATATTTAAGCTTAAACCCCTAAAGGAAACCAAAACTAAAAGTAACTCAGTGACTTTTCGGACCACTAAAAGAGGCCATGCTAAATAATTATAAGCGCTAGATTGAATTCACTTTTTTGCGCCAAAGATGTGAACATCGCCGTTTCACGGTTTGTTTGTCTAGAATGCTTTTATTTATTCATTTGTTTTTACATAGGTATTCATTTGCGCACAACTGTAATTTAGATTTTGAGCATCCCCCCTAAGTGAATCCTTCAGAAAATCAACTAGTGGTCGTCAAAGGTCTGAAAAACATGGTTTTATTCTACTCGTACTACTTCGGATAGGTGATGACTATTATTTGCTTTTGCGTTTAATAATATACATGTATTGTTAGATATATGCTGCTTCATCTTATCTTATATATATATACATGAGTCGCCAAGGTGTACTATACAGAGGCCAGTCTGTTATACATTATAGCAAGCTTGTCGGATAGGAATAGCGAATTTTAAACTTCGGCAATATCTTACAATAGGCCCAATTGAATTGTGACATTCTGCTCTCCACAAGATACTTTGAATATTGTATATTCCGGGAAAAAGTAGATAGATTTCTAACAGTGCGAGATGCGGTGCTTCCTTCCCATTCCTTCTTTCGTCTTTGTTTGTCTCTTACCTTAAATATTTAATTCTAATTCATTTTTCATTTACATATGCAAATTAATTAATAGTACAATTTACTCCTTTAATTGTCCCATGACTTTTAGTCTACTCCGTCTGATCTACAGGGCGATGTACGCAGCGACTTGGCGATCCTTCGAAAAATAGCGATGTAGCTATCGCGAAAGTTGGGCATTCTTGATCCATAGATGACAAAGTTCATGGCGGAGTTTGACAGAGCTACGGTTCTAATCCAGTAATGGACGTATCCAAACGGCTTTACCAACGTCTTGCCCGTCACAGTGAACACTATGAACAGTGGAAACCAACAAGGCGTAAAAACAAAGATGACAATTGCGCATGTGAAAGCCACGCGTGCTTCATAACGATAACTGGAAAGGTTCACAGATGGAGCACCAAGGTGTCTTCTCCTCCTTTTTTGCCTTACCAGACACATGACAATCAGCATGTAAGACACAAAGATTATGACATAGCTGATGGTAAAGATCCCCACAACGATGAAACCCCTGATCGCTTGACGTGCTTTAAGGAACTTAGCAGAAAGATTCAGCGCTATTATTAATATCCAGCTCGCTGTTAGCATTCCCCTTATCATTAGAACCACCTTTCTGCTTTTGTGTCGAAAAGGAAACGCGATGGCAATCAAGCGGTCAATGCTAATAACTGCCATATTCACTACTGAAACTGACGCCGAGAAATTTGAAACATAAAAGTAAGCGATCTCCAGATTCCGTGCGCAGCTATGGGAAAACGTTCTCCTCACGAGAATTGCCAAAAAGAGCGGTTCACACACCATTGTTGCCATCAAATCAGCTATTGCTAAGGTGACCAGAAGGTAGTTAGATGAGCGACGTAGGTTGGGGTTTGTTGCAAAAGCCATGCACACGAGCAAGTTTCCAATCGTTCCCAACAAACTAACTGCTGTATTCGTGGTGATAAGGGCAGCACCATGACCGACAGGAAGTTTAGAGCAAACTCTTGTGGAGATTTCAGTGAGTGCAATTGATGTGTTATTCATGTCATTCACCAACGTAATTGCAGATAATACGGATAGGGGTTTACAAGGCTGCGCTTCTTGGTGAAAAGGACTTGAATGCCATGCTAAAACAACCACTGAGTTTGGAATAGTTTAGTCATCGCTGCAGTTACCTGCTGTAGGTGTAAGAACTGATTGGTGTTCAGTTTTGTCATGGTTAGAACAGTGGACCTCCTTTATCTATGGTTTTTTTAAACTACAAACAAGAGTTTTTAAACACTCCCTACTCGAAACAATATCCAGATACGCATTGTGCAGCATCATTTCCTTACAAAATGTAAATAAATAAAATTAGAAGGTAAATATGCCGGTCGTGAACAAAACCAGAAAAGAAAAGAAAATTGGGCGCAAATTTTTCGCCGGCTATCGTGTCATTGTGACGTTAGCGGGCTGACTTTGCATCTGGTATTAGGTAGGTATCTACTAGTTTCAGACATGCGGCAAATCTGATGAGGCGCGAGCGATCAAATGCATGTCTCCTTACTGTCAATATATGACACATTAATTATCATGCAATGAATCAGCGATAACCCTTCAATTCCGTAAGGTTCACTGCGCGGCCGTTGCGTCAGTGATTGACGTTGAGAACTCGAGTTTAATCTGCAATTATGCGCAAACCTCACGAATCAACCCGATACTTAAATAGAGCAATACATTCTCTCGCAGTGAAATAAATATAAGGATGCGTTTTTGGGGGTGTTTATACCGCGTATTCCGCTAATGAATGTTGTGCACATGTATGAAGATTGTTAATTTAACCAGAAGTTTCTGGTTGTCATGCTGGATGCTACATATTGAATAGATTTGAACATCGTACGTTAAGCCAGGTATTGAGAATATTGCAGAATAGAATATTGTAGAATTTAGAATATTGTAGCCAGGTATTAAGAATATTGTACGTTAAACCTGTTGTCTAGAAGCTACGTAGGAGTGCAAAAAAAGCCTCGCAAAATTTTCAATAGAGTACACTCAGCCATGATTGGTCAAAGAAAGGTCGTGATATTAGTGCGCCAGTGAAGCACGCATCCTAATTTGATCACCAGAGAACAGCCAAACGCTTTAAGGACACTCGCGTCATACGGACACCCCATTTTTACGGCAAAATTTGCTTTGTCTGTGGGGAAAGAAAGCTCTTACTTTTTCTCTAAACCCGCCTGCTACGGACACTTTCTATGCCCACACAGTCAGACTCAGTGTCCGTATTAACGGGGTTTGACTGTAATCATCACATGCACTTCATTTCACAGTTGAGACTCACATTGCCCTGCAACTACTTCTTTCAATAATTTTCTACATGACTCGATGCTGCCTGTGTATTTTACCATTCTTTAGGGGAAACTAAACCTCGAAAACCGTTTCAATGAACACAAATGACCAGCATCTATCCCTATTATATTCCCAATTCGGTCTCATTGCACATGGCTAAGCACCCCGATATCCATGCTATATAGTCCTATTGAAAAACAAATACATCAGGGGCACCCAACGAGGATATAGTTCAAAACCACTTAACATAGCATTGTTGAACGTATTTTAGTATTCAAACGGTAGATATAGGCATATTTTTATCCCCTAAAAACTTTTCATCTGTTCGGATTTCCTTAGTGATCCGAAAATTATAGGGATAAAAACTTACCTTCTCGAAAATTTCAGCCAGGAAAAGGCTCCCGAAAATTCTAGGTGGCCTTTTTTAGGGTCAAAATCCGTTAAAAATGAGTAATTATACCATTTTGCAGATGTTCGAAAATCCTAGGAGAGGCTGGCAAGCAAGAAATTTTACAACAAATGCTCCGAAAATTCTAGATCTCAAATCGTCTTCCGAACAGATATTTTCCCGAAAATTGCCGTTGGGTGCCCCTGATGCATGGATGTCAAGCACACATTATTCATAAGACAAGCATCCTAGACACCCGTTGCTCATCGATGAAAATAAATGGGGTGAACTGTCATCTGTTGCTATGTATAGCACTGAGATGCACATTTAAATTTGTTTTTCCGCTTCTTTAATAGCGTAGCAAAGCGCTACTAAAAATAGATTGCATATCTCAGGACCAGCCCGCTAGACGCAGAAGACATTTGTGTATTTACAAGCCAGTACAAGGCAAAGTTTTCTGAATTAAAAAAAGCATTTTAGCCGTTTTTTTCTCAGATGTAGGTAGTACCAAGTATATTCGCTGGACGAGAGAGTGCTGCGTTGATTTTAGGTGCCTGGAAAAACTACACAACTGGTTAAATTATCTATGATAGTATTTATAATATGCTTATTAGTAAATTTATTTATGCGGTTTTGGGAACCCATCGATAAAATTGATAAAAGCCATCGCCAGAAGATCAAATGCCTGTTCCCAAGAAAGCACCAAGGGTAAAAGGTCTTGGAAAACAAACGAAGTAAATGTTGATGTTTTTCTCTTCTTGATTTCAAGGACCACTAAGGATCCAATAGTAAAAATAAACAAACAACAACATCAACATCATCATCAACAACAATAGCAACATATAACAAAACAGCATTTTGGAAATCGAGGATCAATAAACTACGACTGAAATGAATTAAATTGTGAAGAAAGCAGAACATAATCTCTCCTCTTAAAGAACTACATGTTGTAAAGATCGTAAAAAGTAAAAAAGGCCAACGACGGTTGATGCTTCTACAATAAGAACAATTTAAGTCATTCAAAGCGGCTCAAAGCTGCCGTAAGTAACCGGATAGACAGGCAAAATTAAAGTTTAGAGTCTAAATCTAAGTTTATTTATTCTAAGATGCTGCATCTTTAGGATTTGCAATCCAGCATTTTTATTTAATACTTATTTGTTTTAGCTTAAAACGCTTATTATAATAAATACCTTAATTTTTTTTTTGGTATAATCGCTTATAAGCTTACTTCAGTCTGGATTTTCAATTTATAGTAAGCGAGTCCGCAACAACTCACTTTTCACACTTGTGATCAACAATTGCTTAAAGGTCAACAATATAGTTTGCACCCAGGAATCAGTAATTTTATGTAAGAATTGTACTGCTGAAACTTTGCGTTCGAAAAAGAAAATTCAAACATTCCGCCAATTCAGTGATATTTGCTGGTCTGAGTCTTGCGGAAGCGTCAATTTGATGACGTTACTTCTGCGCTAGGCTATTTTGTTTTATGTTGCCTCATCATACCGACTCATATTATGAGAAACTTCTGTTCGTTTTTGTCGACAAATGTTTTGTGTGTGTGTGTTCTTTCGCGAGATGACCTTATAAAACAAGACGTAAGTCAAAGGGTCGAGAAAGGAGAAAGTAAATTGCAGTTTTAAAAAGGTCTTATTTGATGTTGTTTTCATGAACATGACATGTTTCGATTTGACTCACCCATATTTACCTTGTTGTAAGCAACGATTTTAGTCACATCGGAAAATGTAATTTATGTGTTAAAAAAAAAAACAGTCAACTTTTAAAAACATCGTAGCCTCAGTCTTTGCACGTTCTTTGCTCAGTCCCTGCGGCAGTAGCGGCAGTAGTAACCGAGTTTTAGCAAGTAACTGACTGAGGTAGTATATATTTTGTGGATGAAAATTGATTATAAATAAAAACTATGGAGTTACAGTCAACTATGTCTAAGACGGGCACCTTCGGAGCCGGCCCTGACTGCCCATCTTAGAGAGGTGTCCGTCCTATAGAGCGTTTTCACTCACGTGGCCAGCATCTATGCTAATTTAAAAGAAAGTATTTACATGATAAAAGAGTTCAACTCCCCGAGGATTTTCTTGGTACACCAACACGGTCGCCGTTTCATTGTTTTGGAACACCAATATGGCCACCGTGACGTCATGTGAAAACGCTCTATAGAGAGCCGAGGTAACCTGACGCCAGTAATTTTTAAGAAACTAACGCTGAAGCCATTCGTAATAAAAAGACGTCTGCTCAACTTGTACAAAACAGCTAAAACTTGGACATTGTAGCCGAAAAGTGGAATCGTTTTCTTATTTTGCCATCAAACGTTCATTCATAAAGCTAACGCTCACGGCTTTGTAGTCCGAGCGTAACAGTATATACATTCTCTGGGAACTGGAGCAAGACCGCAAAATAATGAAAATTTTGCAATTAACTGTCATGTACTGAGCACCCACATTTCCCTTTTGAGGTATTTCCACTGTATAGAGCACTTGACGGTTTCAAAAGTGTCCGTTGTCCGTCTTAGAGAGGTGTCCGTTTTTGCGGGCGACAAGAGGAGCCAGAAATCCTAATCTCCAGTTTTTTATTACGCATGCGTCGCATGTATGTAGCCAGCATTCGTTTGAACTTCCACTAAGAATGTATGGAATGCAGAGAACGTACTTGATCACACACGTTCGGACTGATCACGGGTGCTTTGACCATCTGCCCATGGGCCTCAAAACATTACAAACATGTCACACCTTACAAAAATATTTTCCGCCTGTTTCCTGGACGTATAACAATAAGGTTTGCGGCTCCTTTACGCAAATCCGTAGGTGTTTTGTGTTAAACTCANGCCATTCGTAATAAAAAGACGTCTGCTCAACTTGTACAAAACAGCTAAAACTTGGACATTGTAGCCGAAAAGTGGAATCGTTTTCTTATTTTGCCATCAAACGTTCATTCATAAAGCTAACGCTCACGGCTTTGTAGTCCGAGCGTAACAGTATATACATTCTCTGGGAACTGGAGCAAGACCGCAAAATAATGAAAATTTTGCAATTAACTGTCATGTACTGAGCACCCACATTTCCCTTTTGAGGTATTTCCACTGTATAGAGCACTTGACGGTTTCAAAAGTGTCCGTTGTCCGTCTTAGAGAGGTGTCCGTTTTTGCGGGCGACAAGAGGAGCCAGAAATCCTAATCTCCAGTTTTTTATTACGCATGCGTCGCATGTATGTAGCCAGCATTCGTTTGAACTTCCACTAAGAATGTATGGAATGCAGAGAACGCACTTGATCACACACGTTCGGACTGATCACGGGTGCTTTGACCATTTGCCCATGG